AAAAACCCACCCCAAAACTTAGCTAGGTATGATGGTGTGTGCCTATAGTCCCAGCTACTTGGGAGGCTGAGGCAGAAGGATCGTCGGAGCCTAGGAGGTTGAGGCTGCAATGAGCAGTGATCACACCACTGAACTCCAGTCTGGGCAACAGAGTGAAGTCCCGGTGAGAAAAAAAAATGTGGGCCAGGGGGAGTCTGGCGGGCTTAGTTGCAGATAGGAAAAGGAATCCAGCTAGATATTGAAAAACATTTCTGGCCGGGCTCCTTGGTGGCTCAGCCTGTAATCCCAGCATTTTGGGAGGCTGAGGTGAGTGAACTGCCTGAGCCCACGGGTTCAACACCAGACCAATTTGGCGATACTACGTCTCTACAATAAATCAAAAATTAGCCGGGCATGGTAGCACACACCTAAAGTTCCAGCTACTTGAAAGGTTGAGGACGAAGGATCTCTGAAGCCCAGCAGGTCAATGCTGGGGTGGCCATGAGTGGGCCACTGCACTCCAGCCAGGGCGACAGAGTGAGACTCCAACTCAAAAAATAAAAATAAAAAGCAAGAAAAACATTTCTATCCAGGCAGACCAAGTCATACTTATCTAAGTGTTCGCTAATTGGATGCCATGAAGTAAAGCACTAAACATAAGCTGTGATGTCAGAATGAAACGACAAAATGTAACAAATCAAGATAATCTGACAGCAAGGCGAAAAAAAATTAACTGAAGTTTAAAACTCAGGACATTACTTATTTGAAATCAAGTCACATAATTGCACTCTGTCCAAATGGAACCTGGTGTATTGCTCAATTTTTGTCTAGTTGGTATAACTTGTTTACAAAGAAGCAATACATTTGTACTCAGATATTCATTTAGTGAACATAACAATAACCAGCAATTAAACTATTTGCAACTTTGAAAACTATATTAGGTAGAGTTGTCTTTTGGATATTATTTTCTCTTGAAAATTCACTAATACTGTTGAAAAATACGCAAGGCATTCTATGTTTGTTTGCATTACAATCAGTTTCACATTCACATAACTTATCAAAAATCCAACACCAGGCCAGGCGCAGTGGCTCAAGTCTGTAATCCCATACTTTGGGAGGTCAAGGCAAGAGGATTGCCTGAACTGAGGTTCAAGACCAGCCTGGGCAACTTGATGAGACCTCATCTCCACAATAAATCAAAAAAATAAGACGAGCATGGTAGCGTGTGCCTGTAGTTCCAGCTACTTGGAAGGCCAAGGCAGAAGGATCGCCTGAGTCCAGCAGGTCCAGTCTGTAGTGACCGTGAGCATGCCAATTCACTCCAGCCTGGGCGACAAAGTGAGACTCTGACTCAAAAAAACAAAAAATCCAACACCAAAACTGTATCAACAGTACAACCCAAAGAGGAAATTGGCAAACATTAGATTTACTGACTTGCTGCAGTAGCTCAAGTCAATTCCCACAGCACTAGGAAGTAATTTTTGATACCTCCTTTATCCATCTATAAGAGCAGGAATACAAAGGCAATCTAAGAAGTGGTATTTCTTCCAAGGAGTTGACAATCTGAGGAAGAAAACATACATATACGATTTCCATCAAAAACTGGAAAAAATATCTCAAACGCAAAAGTGTCATGATGTCGCCAGATATGAAAGAACATCCAAGGAAGCTAATGAGAACTGAGGATCTTTATTGAGTTTTGGGAGACCAGGATTCAAACAGGTAGGCAGCTGGGGAGAGAGAAAAAGCAGTCCACGAAAGTAGAGAGAGAAGGAACTGGACACAGCCATGCTCCGTGATCTGAGGTCAAATAGTATTTAGGTGCCAGGAAACTGAGTGCCATCAGGTGCTGGGAACAACATACCCACAAGGAAATCGAAGTCACACCTTTATCAATTACAGCTGAGTACGGACACACCCCTGATTCATGTTTCAAGACCGATGGAGTTGTCTTTACTTCACATAGTCTCTGGCCTCACATTATTTCAATTTTTGTTAATAAGTTTAAGTCAGTGAAATTAGAATGTTTTCCCCCCCGTGGAAGAATAAGAAGTTCTGGCAAAAGAATGAACTGTGCAGTATTCTTGAAGTAGACATTAACCTGAAGGACTGGGCAGAGCAAGAAATCACATGACGAGTGGAGCTGAGTCATCGTAGGAGGCCAAGATATGCAAGGCACTCTTCACTGTACCTGAGAACATCCGGCACCCATTCCCCCCACCATTTATTATGAAAATATGCAACAGATGGCCAGATGTGATGTGGTGGCTCCCAACTGTAATCCCAGTACTTTGGGAGGCTGAGATGGGAGGATCGGTTGAGAGAGAATTTGGACAACATAGTGAGACCCCTGTCTCTATAAATAAATAAATAAATAAATAAGAGTGAGGGACGCCGGGCTCGGTGGCTCAGCCTGTAATCCCGCGCCTTTGGGAGGCTGAGGGGATGGATTGCCCGAGACCGAGGGTTTGAGACCCGCCTGGGCAACTTGGCGAGACCTCATCTCTACAATAAATCAAAAATTAGCCGGGCATGATAGCGCACGCCTGTAGTTCCAGCTACTTGGAAGGCTGAGGCAGAAGGATCGCCGGAGCCCGGCAGGTCGAGGCTGCCTGCACTCCAGTCTGGGCGACAGAGTGAGACTCCGACTCAAAAAAAAAAAAAGAAACCAAGCTCTATAGCCAAGTGTGGTGACGCATGCCTATAGTTCCAGCTACTTGGAAGGCTGAGGCGGAAGGACTGTCTCAACGCAGCAGGTCGAGGCTGCAGTGGCTGTGGGTGTGCCGCTGCGCTCCAACCTGGGCAACACAGTGAGACTCCAACTCAAAAAACTAAAAAATAAATAAACCAAGTTCTAGGCGTGCATGTTGCTCCTAGATAGAGCCAACTTCTAACGATCTCTTGCTTTTTTTTCTATTTATTTTTTAAATCTTATTTTGAGACTGGATTTCATTGTTGCCCACGTTGGAGAGCAGTAACACAATCCCAGCTCACTGCAGCTCCAACCTCCTGAATTCAAGTGATTCTCGCACTTCAGCCTCCTGAGTAGCTGGGACTAAAGGTAAGTGCCACAACACCTGGCTAACTTTATTTTGTCTCACTGTTGCCTTGGCCTCCCAAAGTGTTAGGATTACAGGTGTGAGCCACTGCACCCAGTCCTTTAAATAGAGTGTAAAACCCAAATTCTTGTTTTGTTTGCCTCTGATAACATCCAAACTAGCACGTGCAAGCTAACTCCACAATGCTTTCAACTAAGGATGCTGGAGGATTAATGTAGTATTATGCCGTGGCCGGAAAAAAGTATTCACGGATTACACTTCCCTTTACACCACTAATTATACTTTAAACATAACTCCCTCTCTTATGTCTTATTTGTAAATTGGCCCAACTGTCTCCTCTAAGAATGTGTGGAATTGGTTTTTCATTAACTGCCCTCCTCAGACCCTTTTCAGCAACCAGCTGGGGAATGGAATTTGCTAATTGTTCTTGCTACCGTAGGTAAAGGAAGAACGGTACAACGGAAGTCTTTTAGGCACTTTTTATTTTCCAAAAAAAATTGTCGTTAATATATAAACATCTCATTCTCTCAAAAAATTCTACAACTATACAGCTGTTTGCTCCATTATTTGCATAGGAAATGACCACAATACAAAAATAAGAGGGAAAAAGAAGCATAACAGCAACCGATTTATGCTTTTCATGTAGGTGTGTCTCCACGTATAAACATTTTTGAAGCCTCTTACAAAATTATTTACACCGTCATCTATTTACACATTTTAAGAGCAACTTTTCTAACAAACAAAACTATAATTTATCAAGTTATGAAAATTGTTTTCTAAAAAAAAAAAAACCTTACTATATTACCACAAAATAAATAAAGATAAACAATATTTTAAAAACAAAATTAAACTTTCATTTCAATTAAGACCCCTTTTGGCATTTTGCTTCTTTATTCTGCCCTTTGGTGAACAGCATCGGCATCACATTACTATTTTATATTGCATATATGTAGCACTTGCTTCCTTAAGTTTTCAACATACCATTTATATTTAAAGGCAGACACTGAGTCAGTATTAACAATAGATTAACTAAACTGCACTGTAATTTAGGTAAAATTACTGTGTCTCATGTACATTACATGCAAAATCCACATAAATTGTCATTTAACCAACAGTACTGCACAAGCAAACATCTTGATATCTGAAAACTGCATCATAAATTCAACGTTTCCATACATGAAAACTGCATCATAAATTCAACTTTGCCATGAGAAAACTACATAAGTCCTTTTAAAAAATGATACTGCATTTAGCTTATTGTAAGAGGTTTAACTTTTGTATATTGTAACTATCTTTAAACTCTTCTGTTTACAATTCATATAAAATGTCTTTCATATTTAAAATAAACAACCCTACTTTAATCAGTGCATTAAATTTGCTTTTTAAAGTTCATTTGAATGATTATTCCTTCCCCCTAAAGAAATGAATCTGGTAGCATTGAGAGGTATCTTCCCACAAATTCTAACTGTAAATGTATCCATGGTTATTTTCAAAAGAATTATGATTTTTTTCCCAAAAGAATCTTAAAAAACTTGTAATAAACCTATAAAGCTGATTTGCATATTTACAAAATTTTGAATAGCAAATATAGGCAACTCATATGTTTTAAAAAACAGAAACAACGACACATTTGTTCAATGGCTACTGTGAATGGCCAGGTATACTGCGGACCTCTAGGGATTATCTAACAGCGGAAGCCACGCCTCCAAGGTCAAGTGGAATCTCGACGCCCCCTCGCCCGCCCCCCGTGCCTGTGTGCGCAGCACTGACACGTGCCCGCCCCGCCCCCGCCCCCGCCCCCCAGAGATGCGGCCTGCGAGATGCGGCCCGCCGGGGCCGCGTGGACGCCGCAGCCAGCGCAGAGGCTCAGGACCACCCGACACTTTGGTATTCGCACGCTGTATATTCCCTGTTTTCTCAGATATACACAATGTACGCTCCGGCGGCGGCGGGCGCGGCGGCCTCAGTTCTGGTGCCTCTTCATGTGCAGCGCCAGGTGGTCGGAGCGCGAGAAGCTGCGGCTGCACACGGCGCACTGGAAGGGCTTGGCGCCCGTGTGCTTGCGGTAGTGGCGGGTCAGCTCGTCCGAGCGCGCGAACCTCCAGTCGCAGCCCTCCCAGGTGCACTTGTAGGGCTTCTCGCCTGCGGGGACAGGACAAGGCGGTGAGGCGCGGCTCGCAGACCCGGGGCCAGCCTCCCGGGAGCCCTGGGAAGGGGGCCGCTCTCTTCTCTCGAGCCAGAGTCTCCCTGTCGCCCAGGCTGGGGTGCAGTGGCACGCTCACGGCCGCTGCGGAGCGGCCTCCCCCGGCCGGGCTCCGGCGGGCCTTCCGCCTCAGCCTCCCAAGCAGCCAGAACTACAGGCGTGCGCTACCACGTCCGGCTAATTTTGTGATTCACCGTAGAGACGAGGGTCCGCCACGTAGCTCAGGCTGGTCTCGAACCCCTGGACTCAGGCAACCCTCTCGCCTCTGCCTCCCTGCATGCTGGGATTGCAGGTGTGAGCCACCACGCCCAGCTGGGGCTGCTTTTCCTAATCAGGCGCCAGGCAAAGGAACACCACTGTTGGTTCGACACAGGGCCGGCCCCTTGGTGAGTGCGCCCTCCAAGCGCTTTTTGATCTCGAGTACCTTGGAAGAACTGACAATGGCAACTGCAGGCGAAACCTAGAAACCTAGACAAATGCGAGATGAGCCGGTGCTCGTAGCCTGAGGTGCTCCTGCACGTGTAGGCCTCTGAAGCCACTCGGGAGCCTGGGTGGCTGCTTGTAATGGTGTGCAAATAGCTTCACACCAACAAGCCCGAATTTCATGATTGCCGGACTAAGTATACAAGGCAGGAAAATTCCAGGGCTATTCAAATCGCCTACACTATGAATTGCTTTCCCGGTAACTGGTCCTAGATGTCTCTAAACTAACCAGACTGAAGCATAAAGCTCCTAGTCGAGTTCCCTTGAACACATGGCCTCCAGCATGGACTATCAGGGCACTGGCTCTTTGACATTCACACCCACACACATTCGTCCCTTCTTTTGGCAGATGGAAGCAAAACAAAGTTAGGAACATAGTCTGGTACTGATAACTCCCCACTAGCAGAAAGACTTGGAAACAACTGTAACAATTTCACATTTGTTGATAGTACATTTAATTTTCTTTGTCAAGCGTTGTCCCAAAAGGATGATTAAAAATCCATTCCATAAACAATCTACCAACTGTCTACCTACAGGCCAGGCGCTGTCTTAAATGACTGGGATACAACAGTATATGACAACACAGAAACGCCTGGCCCCCTGGAGCTTACGTGTATAATGTACTAAAGTCTGCAATTGATCCATCGACCTCCTCTGTTCTTTCACAATTCTCATCACTTGAGTAGTCCCTGCTCTACCTTGTGATGCATAGTATTCTTAATGCTGTCCCAAGTTTGCTAGCTGTTCAACTTTCAAAACTACTAAATATTGAGCCTGGGGGCGGTGGCTCACCCCTGTAATCCCAGCACTTTGGGAAGCAGAGGTGAGAAGATTGCCTGTGCCCAGGAGTTCGAGACCAGCCTGGGTATCTTGGCCAAGACCTCATCTCTACAATAAACTTAAAAAATTAGCCGGGTATCTGGCACGAGCCTGTAGTTCCTGCTACTTGGAAGGCCATGAGTGGGGGCAACAGAATGAGACTCCAAATAAAAAAAAGAAAAAAGAAAAAACTAAATATTTATAATGTGGTCTTTTTAAAAATAATGCAGTCTTAATTCACTGTTTTTAGAACTAAGTAATCGAATTTGAGAATTATATCTTCCCCTAAATTTCAGTGCTCATTAATCAGTAGTTCCTGTATTTGTGCTTTGTGGATTCTCTATGAATTTTAGTGAGGTTTCTTAAAACAAGAATTTGTGAGATAAACTTGTATAGCAAGGTCATTTTTTGCTGAGTTTTATACAGGTAACCCATTAGTTCTTAAACTTCTTTTTAAAAAGTTTTCTGAAAGGGAAGAACCTCAGAGCTGCTCTGAACTCTTGAGGAAACAACTCTCCTGCCTAACTGAGCAGCTTCAGATTCAGAAAGTAGCAGGGTTACCCAACTAAGACTACATTTTAAAAGACATTGTCCTCATCCACTGAGATTTCTACAGCCTGTGGTTAATGTCTTTTGTCGTCCTGATAACTACTCTGACCCTCAGACAAATCTCATAGGGACAAAGAAGAAAGTGGCAAAACAGCCCACATGAACTCAGTGCCAATCATTTCCCAAAAGAGTTCCCCTTCCTCTCCTGTGCCACCTTCCCTCTTCTGGCTCTGACCCAGACAAAGTCTTTTTTAAATTCCTTTCTTGCTGTGCATGGTGGCTCACACTTGTAATCCCAGCACTTTGGGAGGTGGAGGCGAGAGGATTGCCTGAGTCCAGGGGTTTGAGACCAGCCTGAGAAATTGCGTGAGACCTCACCTCTACAATAAATCAAAGAATTAGCCGGGTGTGGTGGTACATGCCGGTGGTTCCAGCTATTTGGAAGGCTGAGGCGGAAGGATCCCCTGAGCCCAGCAGGTCAAGGCTGTGAGCGTGCCATTGCACTCCAGCCTGGGCGAGAGTGAGACTCCAACTCAAAAACCAAACAAAAAAATCCAAAAAGAATTGTGAAGTATGTTTTTGTTCCTTGTGAAAAATAAGTCACAGAAACAAACATACTGGTTAGTTTACTGTCACTTAATGGAAAGGTAAAGTTATTTCTGATGTCTGAGTCAAGGAAAAAAAATCCCTTAAAGAAATCAGTGGTACCCCAATTTTAAAAGAAATCATTCTAGCCTTTTGAATTTAATAACTAAATAGCAGGAGAACTAAATTGTTGGGAGTTTATTTAAGAAACAAGGGACACTAGTCTCTTTTTGTTCACTATTTTTATTGGCTATGAAGCAATAAACTGCAGCAATATTTTTTAAAGTTTACTTTACTGATTGGTTGAAATACAGCAGCCATTAAAGTTCCTAAAACATTTGGGGTTTTGCTTCTCAATTTGTGCACATCTATAGATTATTCAGCCAAGAATACTACCAGTGTCTGAAACTCTACTTACTGGGGCCAAGTCTTACCATAAAAGTAACGCCAACTGTTCCCCACTTGGGGCAGTTTCTATGGGATTTGTTCAAGTGTCAACACTGTTCAAGTAAAACATCGTAGAGGAAGCTGGTACCCAATTTCTGGCCAAACAGCAGACTCGGGCCTTTCTTCCTCAGCCAGAAACACTATGCACAGTACTTCTGGGAAACCAAACTGACTTCCTTTAAGTTATATTTCAACAGGATAGAGCTTTCAAAAGTTTAATTGGATTTTTACAGAATCTCTTTCCAATACCACCAATTTAAAATATTTAGTTAAGCTCTTTCAACATCAACTGTATTTTTAAGTTCTCATGCTGTTAATGTGAAACTTTCCAAAGGCAAAAAAGAAAAAAGCGACAAGTTTGTACAGGTTGGAAAACAAGCTCCAGCTTTATCTCAGAGTATGCATTTTCTCACTCGGTTTTTGTTATAGGAATGTTTTGCTAGGAATCCCTAATCTTTGATAAAAATGTTCAAGTTAAGCAGACATACTGTCCATACTGATCAAGTCATGAACACATTTTACAAAAACGTTAAGTGGCAACATTACAGGTAAAAGGAGGAGCAGGGACAAACATGTGACTGTCCCCCAGAGCTGGGTACTTCCCATGACCTCACTCCCCACAACAATCTGGACAGAAGACTAGCCGCCCAACAGAGCATCCTGGTCTGCCACTGTTCCTTTATGTCTCACTCAAATCTTCCATTTGCAAACACTAACACACCTCTCTGGATGAGAAGGAACACATACATAACTGTTCAAATGTAAATGTATTTACAGATTCCGAAGCCACATGTGAAGGCCAGTTAAGGAACAGCTCAATGGACTTACAGCAGGCCTTAAGCCCCAGCCTTTCTGAAGCAGACAGCACACCTGACAGAGCCCACCCTCTGTGGGGACCCAGCCGATCCTGACTGCTGTGCTGGTAGGGGCAATCCATGGGTACCACCCAATCATAGCTCCTTTCCCTCAAACTAAGTGAATTTCAGTGAGTCATCTGTACATGTGTGCAAAATACTTTAAAAACCTTTAGCAACAAACTAGAAAAATAAAAATAAAAAAAACTATTCTTTTTTGTGATGAACAGATTTTAAAAATGACTTTTGAATCTACCAGTGGAAGGGCAAGTTTCTCTGCTCTGCTGATCATATTCAATACTTAGGACGTATATGCCAAGTCCTTTCCCTAAAATGTTCTACATAGACTCCTCTACCAAAAGAAAAAAAGCAGATGGAAGTCTCTCAGAATAGTTATTTTAGGTAACTTTAAAGGTTTATTACAGCAAATCTGCATGTTTCTTCCAACCCAATCAATCTAATAAAGATAAGCGCTAAAATCCATCAGAATTATAAGTGAGCGGTTACTAAAAAAAGTGTGACCTGTACTAAATACCTTGCAAAACACAAACAAGACTTGGTTTCTGGCCTCAAAACTTACAATCTATATCCTGTTCTGAGAAACTGAACAATACAAACTTTTAATGTGGAATAAATTAATTCAATAGTACCTACTCTTAGAACTTGAAACTCAAAATGAGCACTCATTTCAAGAGGAAAATATTTTCTTTTAATTTTTTGAGTTGGAATCTCATTCTGTCACCCAGACTGGAGTGCAGTGGCCACTCCCGGCCACCGCAGCCTCGACCTGCTGGGCTCCGGCAATCCTTCCGCCTCAGCCTTCCAAGTAGCTGAAACTACAGGTGCACGCTACCACACCCGGCTCATTTTGATTTTGTTGTAGAGATGAGGTCTTGCCAAGTTGCCCAGTCAGGTCTCGAACCCACGGGCTCAGGCAATCCACTCACCTCAGCCTCCCAAAGGCGTGGGATTACAGGCTGAGCCACCGAGCCTGGCGGAAAATATTTTCATGCAATTCAATAATTAGATTTTTCTCCCATCATTACAGACTTAAGGGATTTAGAGTATCTGAAAGAAGCTCAATGTTAGATTTGCTTCTAAAAATCAAAAGGGAAAAAATAGGAAGCACTGATTAATGAAATTCATGGGAAAATATTATTTAGCTATCTAAGAGGAGAGATAATGTGGGAGGATGATTAGAG